ATCATCACCTTCGAAGTTTTTGTTATTTTATATTTCACAAACATGTCATTTTGGGATTGTAAACATATGATGGTGATGTAATGAAATTTTAATGTACGGTGGTGTTGTGTATATTCTATTGCTATGAGACTTTACCTGCCATACCTCGTGTTTCCGCTTTAGCGGGGTGTGACAGATGACAACAGTATTGGCATGGTGGTTGGCGGTGGGGTAGGGTGGGTGGTTGCGACAATAGTGGTCTGGTGGTGGTAGGGAGTTAGGGATGAGGCATGACGATCAATAGTAGCATGGTGGATGGTGATGAAATTCAATTCTTTCCATTATGCCAATGAATGATGAATTTGTGAAATTCAATGGAATTTGAAAGATTCCATTCATTTCAAGAAATGAACCAAACAAATGAATTAGAATTTGGTCAAAGGAATTTATCATTCCAATTCCATCAAATTACTTCGAATTCCACGAACCAAACGGCCTTTTAATATCCTAGATACCGGTACCTATTGGGATGATGATCATTTGGTTATTCATAGTATTATTTATGAAGAATATCATGATAGTTTTTTATCATGAAAATCATTCATGATGAAAATGCATGATGATTAATATTCATGAATGTTATTAATTATAAATGATAAAATGAAAGTTGTTTCTCATATCTTCATAACATTTATAATTTTATCCAAACTTTCTCATATATATACATACATAAGGTTGGATTCACGTGAGACCAACCTGCTTTTATAAGATCCATGAGACCACTTTTTTACACTTGAAACTTCACAGCAAAATGTTGTGAAGGTAAAAAAACCGAACTTTCTCAGCAAAAATACTGTGAAGGTTATATTCACAATATTTTGCTGTGAAGTTTCAAGTGTAAAAAAATGGTCTCACGAATCTCATGAAAACAGACTGGTGATCCCAAGTCTATATATATATATATATATATATATATATATATATATATATATATATATATATGATTGGGTTCTTGTGAGTCCACCAATTTTCGTGAGAACCATACTACCACTGAGTTGATGACGGTTTAAATACACATTGTGAAAGTTTTTTATATGCTTCCCATGAGTGTTTGGCGTATTTTTCCATGGATATTCGATATGTATTTATGAAATAAGCAAACTCCAATGGGCAGAAGAATATATTTTCTATTTCAACCACTTCTGTAATACCAAAATTCCTACTCCTACTCCCATATTTTTACATAGTGTTAAACAAACAAGAACAACTGGGGTTCCACATCTTGGCTAATCCATGGTCTTAGGTACCGATGGTGAAGGCCCAGACAAGATCTGATCCATCAGTGGCTCCGACGTCCGAGAACGGCCGACGCTTGAAGTCGCCTGTCGTTTTTCCCAATACGATGCCCAAGTCACGAGATATAACCCCATTATGATCAACAATCCTCCTAAAATGCTGTTCACAAAATGCAAGTTAACAATCAAATACAAATATGGTAGTTTCCCCGAAGACCTTTCCGAGCGTTGGAAGGACCGACAATATTTAACGGTCCTAACCGGTCCTTCCGAAAGCAAAATGGTCAAACTAAATAAAAATCTGTTATCTCCAAATTCCCTGTCCCCTCCATCTGCATCAATTATGTGAAGCCACATTATGAGGATAAAAAAATCATTTAAATAATATAATGGCGTCATTTCACGTGATTAGTGGGACAGGAGGGAACAAGGGATTTGGCGACAATTGATTTTTATTCGGGTCAAATTGGTTTATAGGTTCAGGTTCCTTTTAGACAAGGGGTGTGTTGTTTTCTTACCTTTGGTTATGTTTTTCTTCTACTTGCTTCTATTTGTATTATTATTAATTACTCGTATCTAACTATTCAAAACTTATCTTCTCGGTATCTCTCTTTCACATACTTCCATAAGCCGAGGAATTTCACGGATGCAACTACTATTATCATTGGAGTAGAGGTCAGGTCTACTTACATCAAACCCCACAGACCCGAAAATATTGGGCTCGTTTAGTTTGGTTTGTTTCTTTATGTTCTTTTCTCCTATCGTCCTTCTAACAAATCAAAAGAATATTGCACTTTGCAAGATTGAGCAATTTTGGACAAAAAGTATCAAAGTACGATGGTTATTTCTTCATTTAAATTTCCACAATTTGTCCAAACTCACTCGTCTATAAAGTGTGGAGTTATTTCGTATTTTCACAAGAACGATTGTTTTTTTTTTTGATTAACTTGGACATCCAACCCGCTATGCGAGCCAACTAATCACAGGGCGACCACCTGCTTTGCAGGTAGCCTGGAGTCACCGCATTTGAACTTTCATGGCCATAAGGGGATTTTTGTTCCTCCTTGGATTTGAACCTGGGACCTCCTGGCACTTTTGACCTTTGGAGCCAACCTCAAACCAATCAGGCACCACCCTTGTGGTTGAACGATTGTTTGTTTGTAGCAAGAAACAAATATGACACATAAACTTCTATGTGTGTGTAGTGTGACAAGACGGGCTAGCAATAAATGCAGAGACCGAAGAACATACCTTCCCAAATATATAGGGCTTCCAAGGAAAATTCTTGACAAAATAGCAGATGCAGCAGGTTGAAGTGGATTGTAAAGAGCAACCAAAGCAGGTCCCAAGATCTTGTTGGACCATGTTAAAAGTCCATAGTTCAATGCAGATGCAACAATTCCCTGAAATAAACCATAAAGAGCCCGTAAAAACCAAACCCAATAAACCCCACACAGGGGTAGGGTTTGCGAGGGTAAGATGTATACAGATCTTTCCTATGCCCCAACGAGTAGTAGAGAGGCTGTTTCTGCGAAGACCCAACCCACCGGATAGTAACACCAAAAACAAAAAGAAACAATAGAGCAAGCAAAGGTATAAGTGTGTGCAATCAAGCAACAGGTACATAAAGATCATGTAAATCATATATAATTTGCTCTTGGAAGGTCTGGAGTTTATGAAGCAAAGAGTCCAGGAAACGAGTAATAAAAAGTCACAGGGACATATATAAACATAAGCATGCACGAAGGAACCAACAATAACAAAATCCAGATGGGTGCAATACCGAGTTTTTCAGCTCAAGCCCTACAGGGGTGAAGTACCTAGTTACATTATTTAGCGCGTATCGAGTGTTATGATCACACACAAACATTATTTTTTTGAAGTATATAATATCTATAAACGGCAATATTCATGCATAGTCCTCACCTTTGGTAAGGTTTGAACCTTTGACCTCCTAGAAGGTTGTGCTCTACCAGTAACCTTGATACCGTTGGGCAATGACCCTTTGGTTAAACAATATTTCTTTTTCGAGGTAACACAAAATCAAACATAGTATTGGCGTGGTTTTTCCAACACACAACATTTGTTCGAGAACGGAAAGAAGAACGAGGATGCTGTAATAGGTCAAGAGGTCTAAATGGAACCAAAACAAGCTTTGAGTCATATGAATGGAAAGTTGCATTGAAGCTGAATGGTAAGTTCTATGCCATCAAAGGTTGAGAAGAAGCTGGTCACATAATGGCAGGCGGACTACGTCTGAAGATATTACCAGAAAAGGTTAGAGTAGTACAGGTTGAGAAGAAGCTAAGGAGCATGAAACACCCTGGGATGGGTTGAGCATCTCCATCATATACCTGTCAATTTACTGGTTAGAAAGGGGGACTTTACCAAGAGAGGTAGTGGTCGACCAAGAGTGACATAGCATAAGTATTGAAGACATTTTCTTGAGTAGAATATACCAAAAGGTAAAGGCCAGACCTGCATACATCTTACCAATCCTAGACCCGCCGGGCGGGTTACACTGGGCTCGTTTGGTTTAATTTAGTTTTAGAATATCAAAAACATAGGGAGTGCAGGGGATGACATTATTCATGTCTGGAAACCTTCGTAGGGACAGCCCTCCATCTTATAGGTTCCTATTTAGCTAACTCAACTAGTTCAGAATAGAAGACTTCTTGATGTTCATGATGGAAATACAAGCCTGAACCATCATCTCATGAATTTTCTTCCATACTCCATCTTAACTAATAACTAGGAGCAACTATCATGCATACTGCTAATTAATCAGGAGAATGCAAGCCATTGCAGGGTAGATAAACAGAGAGTTGAAAGAGTAAAACATGATATGGAACTTGAAAGAATCATGGGCAACATTACATCGAACTTTTAAAAGAGACAAGAATAGAACTGGCACACATATAAGACATTTATAGAACCTGACCATCAGTTGTTCTTATTAATATAGGCCACCAGAAATTTTGGTGGATACAATCTAACTTTTGAGATAATATTAGAGAACTGCATGACTGCATCAAATACCACTTGTATACTAATGAAGTTAAAAGGGGATTTCAACAATTAACATGAGATAAAGTGAAGCAGATTGTCCAGATAAGAAACTTCTATATATCACTGAAGTTCCGAAAACTAGAACTATTCATCAAATCTTAGAACCAGCAAAAATTGCAACATTTACCCATACTCTATAATTTTAAAAAATTACTATATTTTCATGCACATATATGAGGGAAAGGAAGTCCTAAAACATATTAACCGCTACTCCATTAATTTAAATAACTAAATCTTTTCATGCAACACATTTATACCGACAGGAAGACATGTCATTGCTGTTCGATTAAAGAAAAGAAGACATCAAAGCATAGTACATATCTTTTCATAAGCACATCACAACATGTCATACTTTGTTCCCCTAAGAATTAAACTAGGACATAAAGCATTTCCAGCTTCCATGCATCATGTTAAGCTTACTTGACCAAAAAAGGAAAGGCATGTACAAATCTACAATGACGATGATAAAGATACTTACAGCATAAATTACTGCCCAAACCTCAGACTGTGTCAAATTCCAGTTTGTTGAATCATTGTTCATGGAAACTGCTGTCGCTACCATAAAAAGAGTACCAAAAAAGTACGAATATGCTGTAACGGATAGGTTTGCAGAATAAGTGGCCAACACCGGAGCCTGAAGATTTCATTGCAAAAATCAACTTCAAGCATTTAAAAGTAGATAATTCAATACACAAAAATCATATCCCTAAAAAATTAATATAAAAAGCAGTAAGTGACTCATAACATGAAGTTCATAGGTTGCTTTGAGAATGTTAAATGTGCATAATACTACAAGACACTAAGATTGGGCATGCAACTTAGGCCAACTTATTACTAAAATTAGGTCAGTTCATATAAACCTATTTAAAACAGTTGACGAGAAACCTTCATGCAATTCATCTGTATTTATCAAAGCTGTTGCCTGATCAAACTAAGCCTTCTTTAACTTGCAGAGCTGGTGTTTCCTCCTAGAATATCTTATGAACATGCATGAGTCTCTCTTATATATGCTAGCTGCAAAGAGGAATTGTAGATGATCTTACAAATTATAATTACTTCCCGACCATCTCATCTTTACATAAATTACAATACCTAGACCCAAGTGCTCACCACAGTCAATTCCACATATCCGATGTAGTTAACAGAAAACATTACCAAAGCCACCTATCACAAGCAGATGGCCACCACATGCGGTAAAATATCTTCGAGTTATTACAAGTTCTTTAAACATCAAACTTCTAGCCGGTTCTATTAAAAGGCAACTAAATAGTAACATAGCATGCACTTTCATGTCATGACAATGGTCATAAAAAGCGGAGGGTCATTTACCTAGCTTATGAAAGCAAGAGGGCCTTTAACCTAGTTAATGTTGGTATTCTGATATGCATTTACCATATGTACTTATGTAGCTCATTTCTAATTGTCTTCTACCTCGGTTGTGATTAAACCTGCCCAACATCTTGTTGAAGGACTAATTGTTAATGGTGTCAAACATGATGAATGCAATAGCACATTTAGTTGAATTTGGTAAAAAGGTTGCTCACCAGAAAAAGATATTGTTGTATGTTTATTCAAATATAGATTGTATACCTGAATAGCTAGAAAGGCTGCCATGCATATGCAGTTCCCTATTAAGCATAGGACACCAAGGTGCCAGTTATCAATCCCGAAACTCGCTAAATTAGAGAACATCCATCCAGCAGGCCCTGGTTGACCACTTGCACTTATTTCATTATGTTGCCTAGGTACATTGTCTGCATACCCCAGAAGAGCAGGTCCTCGGAACAGAACCATTAGAATGGCACCAGAAACGCAAACAAGGGTCCCTCCAACCTTTGCCTGACCTTCAGTCTTGAGCACATTCACTGTTTCTGTACTGCATGTCCATCACCTCATATGAAGTTGACATATAAATTGGCCAGATATACCGACCTCCTTCCATGAAGTTGACATATAAAGGTGCTTATGAAACCACACATATTGATATACATGCATCTGACCAGTTTACTGAATGCACAGCTCACACAATATAGTACTGCTGTAAGGTATGCATGGTTACTTGTGTGTGAATGTGGGTTAATCTCATTTGTTAGGCTAATTGGGTGCATGGTATATTAAGTACTCAAGAATTATGTGTCAAAGATATCATACATACATATATATATATATATATATATATATATATATATATATATATATGCATGTAAATACATGCATACACACATATATATACATAAATACATTTATACATATATCTTGTATTTAATTATATAGACACATGCATGATATTCAGATACACACAAAATTCTGTAACACATACCTTAAAACAGACATAACTTTTTTAGAGGTATAGGATAATTATAAATTGTATATGCATATACCTACAAATGTCTAGCATTTACTTACATGTGCAGTGAACTTGACAATTCATATGATTAATCTCTTTCTTTCCAAGGAAAGTATGTGTCAGTATTTAGACATGCTATGTATGAAAGAAATTATGGAACAATAAAAGATGTTACGTCTTTTCAGAAGAAAAAAGAGGAAAAGGAAATTAAGAGGAAACGTATCACCTCTCTCCCACGAGGAACAAATGCCTAACAAACTTGAAGGTCCCAACTAAAATTGAATCCCTCACAGCCGTACATTCTAAATTTCTAATTAGAATTTTGCCATAACATGTGTGTTCAGGTTTGGGTTAACCCTCTTTCTCCTTCTCCACTATGCTTCTTTCAGTAGGATCAATTCAAGCAACAGTTTGGGGTACAAGAACACCACAATTTGGATCATAAGATCTGGATTGTGGTGAAGTTGTACTTGGAATGAATTACTTAACACTAGTTCTGAGTGCATATACACATCTCAAATCTACAGAATGATTAACATTAGCAAAAATCCAAGTAAAAAGTAAAATTCAGTTGAGCTTACCCCATCATTGCAGCAAGTATAAATGTGAAGACAGGAATTGAAGGTTGAATGGCTGCAGCGTATGTTGGATTTGTGTAGCCAAGACCAACAAGAAACAAAAGCTGGTTTCCAAATATCCTAAACAAGGTCAAGATAAAAGAAAATTATTAGTAAAACAAGAGGCATAGCTGGGACAAAAATTAAATATTATAATTGTCTTATCTTGGTAGTAAGTTCTTTTTCCCATGATAAATAAACCTGACAATTAAAACAAATCAACCCATTTCACCCATCGTTTTGAATGTGAGTCGTAAAGGATCAACAAAATTAACTAATTAGTCAAATGGGTTGATTATTTTAAAAATAATATTTTTATCATGGATCAAACCAGTCATAAGTATTATCCAAGCAACCCAAACTTACGAATTATTGTATAATATCATTTTATTTACTTATCTATCTGCTGTGCACCCAACCCTGGATGGCTAGATCCCCCACCCCCTATCCATGCCAACATTGTATACTATTTGACACAAAGTTGTTGGAAAGTTTTAATACTTTTTTCTGTTTCAGAACATTTCATGCTTGACTTAGTGTAAAGTACGTTACTTTTTTAACACCAAAAATTAGCAAGAATATTACTGAAATTTTATTACATCCTAATGTAGAAATTCCTTTTTATGAGGATTATGTATTTTTCAAATTAAAAGGTTAAAAACAACTTTAATTTCAAAAGTGAATATTACAAATTTGAATCTTATATAAAGTTTGACCAATTTTTCCAATCGTCGCAGTATGTTTATGTTAGTGACACGTGGCAGATAATATTGGAGGTCATTAAGTCGTTTAAAGGTTATTAAAGTCAGTTAGAGGTTGTCAAAGTGTTATAGTATAAATACAAATGAGCAACTATTGTAAATCATTCAAGATAATTAATAAACATCTTCTTCTCTCTTTCTCTCTCTAGATTAGTAATTTTATACTTTAACCTTCGAAAAGATATAGTGATAAAATAAGAACAAAATAAAAACTTAAAATGTTAAGAATTTTTCAATATAAAGTCTTTATGATGCCATAAATTTAATTATGAAAAAGAGACAGCACAATTGATTTGATATGTTTGTTTGTAGTTTCACTTCACTTGTTTTTATGTTATATACCTAGTTCCATCAAATCTTTTTTTACATTAAAAATTGGTAAGAAAGAAAAAGAACAAAAGGGTGTTTGGGTTTAGAGGGTCAACCCAACCCATTTGAGCATTCTGAACAAATTGCTCGCTTGACCCATACCTGTTGTGACCCATTAACCAATTCCATCCGACCAGCCCATTTGCCACCTCTAATGCTAAACCTAATTATCAGTGGAGGATTACAAACAAATATGAATGACAACTTTAGATATTATAGACTTACCCAGTCAACCCAAGAAAGAAGAAATACATGAGAAAGCGCCTGGTCATAGCTGGTCTAGTTCTCCTACAAAACACAAAAAACAAACCAACTTTAGTTTCACACATTACCCAGATGATACGAGTGATGTTTACAGGTCAATTATGATTAAATGGTTACTTCTGAATAGGAACATTTGGTTATGTACACCAATTAACATATTTGACTTTTATGGTGCTGAACAATAACACAACCATAATCACTTTATAAGCATACTTCATGTATGACGAAGATCGATACTTACACTTCAGACCAACACGATTCTAAATGTAGATGGTGCTCATAAGCTATCTCAAAACATTGTTTACCCTGTGTGGCACAAAATTTTAAACAAGAACCATGATGGAAACTTCAAAATTTGAGAATCCAAATAGCAGCAGCAACTAGAAAAAATAACAATAACAAGGAGCCTCCATACTAGTTGGAGTTGGCTAAAAATGAATAGAAGACAAATTATAGAACACTTGAGCCTACAACAAACATAAATAGGTAAACTGCAGAGTAGACAACATTGCATATAATATTGTAAGTCTTTTATAAGATCAATCATAACTAAAGAGAAGAGATAAGGATCCGAAAATAACTTGTGGTGAAAAACTATGTAACAAAAGCATATGTCTCACATTTGCATGCTTTCACGCTTGTGATCACACAGTCATCCATGTTTTTAATCACATTAACATATATGGTCAAGAATGCCTTCTCACAAACCCATCACATCAATTCTTTCAGCACCCTATCATATCATACACCTTTTCTAGATCAACAAACTCCATAAGCAAATCATTAAGTCGTCTAATGAAGAAAATAATCTATTGTCGAGTCCATAATGCAAATTAACTTTTCAAAACCTTAGTTAACCACCTGGTCCTATAAAAGCTTGGTAAGGCGATAGTTAGTACATTTACCAATATCTCATTGTTCTATATAGTGAGACCAAGGTAATATTCCTCCATTCATTACGTAACCTCTGTCTTACGCATGAAATTAAATAATACAATAAGTCACCTTGTACCTACCTCCCTTAGGCTCTGCAAGCCTCTAACAAAATACAATTAGCCCGAGGCGTTTTACCTACTTTCAACTTTCTTGGACAACCTTCTAGCAGCATCGTCAATAGTCTTCAAGTTCCTCTACACTCCCTCAATATCTCCATTGAACAACTTATCAAGATAATCTCTCCACAGCTCTCTAATCTCATCTTTAACTAAAAGTTAGGCAGGACTTAAGCCACTGTTTTCCACTCTTATCTTAGCAACTTGGGTAGGTTCTTTTCTGTCTCTACAATGTTGTGCAGTTTTTCGTATTTCTACCCCTGGCTTCTCTTATTGTCTCTTAGCTTTGTTTTTTGCTAGTTTACACTTCTCTATGTTCTCAACAATTTTACAGACAAAAGTTTACCACCAAGCGTTTTTACTGGATGCTTACTTCCTTACTTTCTCCAACAACATCCTTAGCTACCTTTCAAATGCACATTGCCATTTTGTTCCACATCATATCAGCTTCCTTTTTGATAATCACAAGGTCCTTCTTAACCATTCAATCAATAAACATATATACATGAACTCCTTCTAGGTTCCACCACCTAGTTCAAGGGTGTTTAACATTCCTACTCCATCTACAACTTAAATCCTGCCCTGGGAAAATCTGTGTCAATTCTCCTTCATGTCCTTGATCTTGGTTCAATTTTCTAATTTTTTAAAAATCATTCTCAGAAGGTTATGGTGAATACTATATCTTATCAAGTTTAAAATAAATCAAATCTAAGAGTGACAAAGAGAGTGGGATTCTACCATACGTGCTATCAATTACAATATGTCCTGCTAACATAGAAAAACCATAAACCAAAGTTCCGAGCAAAACACTACAATTGATTTGAGAAACTTATACATTCCCTGGAATCTTTAGTCAGCAACAAATTTAACTTTTAGAGATCCTAATTCCCCAAAACACTACAATTGCCTTATTTCAGATTCCAGGAAAGAGATGCAACTCCAAAACGACAACTGCTGGTACTCATGTAATTAGCATATATCCCACGATCTTTCATCAAGAATTAACATAACAGAAACCAGTAATACGGACCAGAAGTGTCCAAACAGACAAAGACAATAAATTCTCAATTAACAAGAAATCAAAGAAGGTTGACTAACTTTTCACAGAAATATGCAACAGGAGCGAGGATAGAGAGGGCAATGACATCACGATACACACAGAAAACAATCTCGCTGACTCCAACATTTAGAGCAACTTTCGTGATCACATGATATCCTCCATTAAACAATTGTACCAACGCCATCGCCACGTGTGCCTTCCATGCTTCTCCACCAACACCACCACCGCCGCCGCCTAAGGCCGTCCTCATCTCACCCGGTAACACACACACACAGACGAATCTACAAATCTGTTGGTGTATGTAAAGGTTGAGGTGTGGTTTCAATTTCAACCAACTGGAAAATGATTGATGAATTATCAGGTGGATGGAGTGTCAAATTGTGAGAGTAGAGAGATGAAGAGGTCATCTTGTAAATGAAGGAACTTGTGTGAAAACAGAAATCGGAGTCTGTGGATTTTGGAAGCTTCCCTTAACCGACAAGATATCATCCTGTTGCTGGTGTCAATAGGGGCCAGGAATGGCAACCGGTAGGGTTCGGGCCGGGTATTGGTAGCCCGTCTCGAAACCAATAGTTAAAACCGTCTCCATAACCGTTCCGATTTGCGTCGGGATCTTATCGAGGATCCCATTAGGTTTTTGCGGTTTTCCCGATCCCGTTAGGGAACCGAACTTGAACCTGAACCCCAAAACCGATCTGGAAAAAATTATAATATGCTAATTTTCACAATTAAAAGGAAATTATAATTTTTTTAAAGATATAAGTTTTAATGTCTCAAACATAATCGAACCAATTATAAACAATATATTATATTACAATATAAAACTAAACAGAAATTCAAACATCATACAACTAAAATCACGATTTTAGACAAATAAACTAGACTTTTTCGTGAGATTTATTTGGGTTGTTGAGGTAAAGTGGGTAAAAGTCTTTTAAATTTTAATGTTACTATTTTCTTTTAATGATATTATATATATATATATATATATATATATCGGGCCGGGCCGGTGATTACCGTCACCATCCCCGTCCCCGTTAAAATCCCCGAATTCGTCCCCGATCCCCGCCCCGTCCCCGATAAGATGTTCCCGAACCCGGCCCGAAAGTTTCGGTTTTCGGTTTTCACCATCGGTTTCGGTTTTTTTTGTCATCCCTAATCGGGGCTTTGGATGGAGCAGAGTGCATACTTTTGATTTCCGACACGAAGAAAAGGCGAGGTCAAGGGGAAGTGTCGGCAGGCAGGCCCGTTCATAGGGAAGGACGGGCCGGGCCAGGCGTGAGTTCATCTCACAAAAATTAGTGTCCCAAATCTTTTAAATATATATATATATATATAATAGTAGTTCAAAATAATTAATAAATAAAAGTGACACAACAAAATTAGGTGGCGTTTGTTTTTTAAGAGGTGCTGAAGTCTGAAGTCTGAATTCACTTCTGAATTTTAAGAGGTAGTGCTGAAGTCTGAAATCTGAATCAGTCAGACTGTTTGTTTTTACGTCTAAAATCTGAAATCTGAATCAATAAGACTGTTTGTTTTTGTAAACTGTTTGTTTTCCGTCTGCAGCACGACCAATCAGCAGCTGCTTTGCTGCTTTTCTTCCGTCTGCAGCACGACCAATCAGCAGCTGCTTTGCTGCTTTTCTTCCGTCTGCTGCACGAGTAAACAGCAGCTACTTGCTGCCTGATCTCCCGCTGCTGCACGAGCAAAACAGCAGCTACTCGCTGCTTGATCTTCCGCTGCTGCACAAGCCAAAACAGCAGCTCGTTTCCGTCTGATGTGCGACCAAACGGCAGCTGCCAAACAGCAACCGTTCCCGTCCGATGTGCGACCAAACAGCAGCTGTTTGCTGCTTCTTTTCCGTCGACCAACGAACCAAACAGCTGGAGGGCCCTCATTATTTTGACCTGCACAAACCAAACAATTTTGAGCAGTCCAATTTAGAATCGTTATGCAAATGTCTATGGTTAATCCGACTTCTATCACTGAGAAACCCCTGTATATATTATACAACTATGTGTTAACATCAGCCCACAGCTCAAAGTACCTCCTTGTATCTTGATCACTAATAAATGGCCAATTGGTCTTAATGAATTCGCTAATGATCATTAGAAAACCAAACCTTCATGCCTCCAGCTTCCAATACACACACAAACATCTCTAGAGGGAGGAGGCAACTGGCTTCAAAACCAAAAACTATTATTGTTGATAATGCTTCAGAAACTTCACCTGATGATTTACAACCCAAGAAGAGGTGTGCTTGGGTGACATCAAGTTCAGGTATGAACATGCTATTCATTCCATATTTGATTTCTTTCAAGTGCATATTTCACATATATCAAGTCAAATCAAAGCTCGGATGTTATTCTTGTAATATCATTTCCATCTTTATTTAGAAACCCCTTCTAGTTTAGTTGCCTCTTATTTTGGTCTTATTGACGACTTGATCTGCTAGACAAGAAGAAATGTCCCACAGTTTGGAGTGTCGGGCATAACAACATATATCGAAGAGAATAGGTCCAAGTCTAGTTGAAGCATAAACAGCTTATTACGAGAGTAGTACCTGGGCAGCAATTGCATCCGAATGATCAATTTCAGCTCCACCCCCCTGCTTTTCTTCATATCCTTTCACCAAAGCCTGCCCACTTTAAAAATCAAAACTCGTTTCCAAACATAAAATTCTAYAAKTAACTAAAAKTGGAGTATTTAACCTCAGATGTACATCGATTCTTACAAAATTGTTCAAATMTACGTCATTAAAGGTGCTTCAATGTTTACGGAGAATCATAACAGTATAATTTTACCTGAAGTTCGCCCAGTACATCAGAAAGTTTACCATTTTTCAGCATCAACGTACCAGTGTACCCTACAAACACAAGACGCCCATATTTACATCAATTCAATCCCTCTCCTCTCGTAAACGCAGACATATTAGGGATTGAAATCTAAAAGATCTGATAAATACGGATCAAGTATATATACATATATGTACAGAACTGATATGCATATAAGTATACTATCAAAAAAGAAACCTGCTCCGACTAAGATTATGATCTTGGAAAACCCCATTCCAGCTTGCATCGCCATGGCTGCGGTTGAAATCTGCAGAAAGCCTTCGTTTTGGTCTGAAGACGTAGAGAGATTTGTTCCAAAAGCGACTACAATAACTCCGTAAGTGTGAAACGCTGTCGTTTCGTCCCTTGATAGGTAAGCTGAACACGATATCAAAATCAAACCTCCATCTATAATCGAGGGCTTGAAATCTGAATCGAGGGCTTGAGCAACTGCGAGAGAGATCGAGATCGAGAGCTTGAAATCGAGATCGAGAGCTTGAAATCTGAATCGAGGGCTTGAAATCTGAATCGAGGGCTTGAGCAACTGCGAGAGATCGAGAGCTTGAAATCTGAATCGAGGGCTTGAGAGTGTACAGGGGCGACGATGGAGAGGTTAAAGCGACGAGGTAGGGAAATCCAAATAAGAGGTGTTTCAGACTTTAATTTACATCTAACCGATTCAGACAAAATGATACAAATTCAGCTCTTAATTGAAAGAAAAAACAAACGCACTTAATACCTCAAGGTCTGACCGATTCAGACATAAGAGGTATTAAGTGTTTTTTTTTGAAAAACAAACACCCCCTTAGTATCTAATTGAACTTGAATTTTTTTTGGTATTACATTAACTATTAAGACCCAAACATATATTAATTAAATATATTGAAAAAAAATACATAAAAATGTTAGTTTGTCGTTCATTAAATAATATTATTTGATGTTTCTCTAAGTTTTTTTTTTATCTTAAATCGACGTTTAAAACTACTTGCCTCGAAAACTTTGATATATCATCCATAATTTATTCCTGATCGACTCTTTTGATTATTCCATCATCGCGTGAATTCTATTTTTATATTATAATATAATAGATTTTCTTGTTATTAGCTAACAAAACCCCATCTTTTGAAAAAAATTACCAACCATAACCATATGAGACGGTACAACTTATATCTATATTTAGAATAATAAAACTATAATTGTTTTTTTCCTAGTTGTTCTTAATTATCTAATATTGGGTGCATAAATCTTTTGTACTCTTCTATCTCTAAAAGAAGAATAAAATCACAAACTATCATCAACATGAGTTTTTTTATTTATAAGATTGATAATTCCAGAAAAGTTTGTTATAACCCTAATGTTATGTTCTTGAATCTTCTTTTACATAGGAAAGAGAGGAAAGTAATGGGGGAAGAAAAATATCTCTTCTCGAGATATTTTAAGGAAAGGAAAAAAATTATATCAAAATTTATTTTTGTATGATTATTTTCCTTCTCTATCAAAAACACAAATAAAAAACTTTATTTCTCTTCCTTTCTTTTATTTTTCTTTTCTTTCATTCCCAAATTTGAGAACATTATTTAAAAAGAAAAGCTTTGGAATATTCTTATCGGGCACTAGAACGAAACCGTTCTTACCACAATTTCATGCCCCAAGTCTTTCCCATAGCTGATTTCTTTGCTAGATGATAATGAATAGTACGACTACAGTTCAATCCAAGCTGCCTTGCATATGAGGAATTCTAAAAAAACCAAACCGACGGACTTCTCTGAGAAATGAGATTGGTTAGCTGCTAAAATGGTGTCAAAAAACATTAACATGAGGTGACATGGAAAACCAACCTATTTACATTGATTTACATAGTGTTACTCGAAAATCAGAAGAATTAACTTTGTGACCCCAAATGATGTCATTCTATGTACCAAAAATATATCATAGGATGTTTTTGATGATAGAACAAATTGACGATGCTACATAAAAATATTCTAGTAGATAATATTAATTTAGAAATGATTATTGATTGATTTTGCATCTAGGAATACTCGAAAATACGGTTTTATATGAATTCAATGTTAAATCTGACGATAAAAACAATATATTGAAAAAAAATATAGTACTTATCGAGGGCCTCTTTTCACATTTCGCCCAGAACCTAAAAAAATGTCAGGAACGGGCCTGTCGCCAGGGTCCAAGGAGGAGCGCCTCAAAACCTCTGCAGAATTTTGGACTTGGAATTATGGAATTCCCTTGAATCAATATACCTTAAGAAGTTCTTGGTTAGCGATTTTAACAATTATAAGATGGTTGATTCAAGGCCCGTAAGGTAGCGTTTGGTACGCAGACAGGATGGGACCGGACATGACTAATTGTATGTCCTATGTTTGGTACGACTAGGACTGGACAGAACAAAACTGTTAAAATGACCATATTATCCCTAAATGTTGTTCAATGTTATTTTTATATCATATAATGATTGTAAAATGACAACAAACCAATCAAAATATATTTTAATTACATAGTTTTCCCTGTCAAGATCTTGCACTCTTTTCCTCAAAAATATTTCTCTTGTTTTCACACCAAGTAGGTCCAGTATGATGTGAACAAGCATCAAAGTTATGACACACGAAATGAAAGCCATGGACAACTTTGCAACAATCATATTGAGGTAAATGAGCTATTTATTTTAAAGATTTCCAAAAAGGAATTGTTTCAGTTAAACATGGCATCCCAGATGGGATATCGGTGCAAACTTTGTGACAGAGGAGTGATTGTTCAAATTTTAAGCATCGTACGAATGACATGTCAATCATCAGGACAAACTAATCGTTTGTAGCTCGACAACTGCTTTTACTTGGGTCTATGCTTTATTTTTCTAATGCTACAAATAGGAAGGTGAAATTGCTAACCTTGAAGATGCAGTTGGTGCATATGGAAGAAAACGGTGATGAAGGAGGCTGCACAATTGTGTTGGATAATTAGGTTTTCTATTGGAAGAAAAGGGTAACATAGTCATTTTATATCTAGTCTCATGTTGTTCCACCTTTTTTGGTGGAACCATGAAATTTAAAAATAGTTTCATCTTGTCCTATGTATTTTTTGTCTATGACATGCCAAACATGAAACTACTTTTTTGTCTCGTCCCGTCTCATGTAGTCTGCATACCAAACGCACCCTAATGGAACAATATAATGAACTCCTTTGTATTTTGGGTCAATTCACATTGTACAAGATGAATAAGAATGAATCTATTGTTGTGTCTAGTGTGATTGATAAACTACCTCAATCTTGAAAAGATTTCAAGCATAACTTGAAACATCAAAAGGAGGAACTGTCATTGGTTCAACTTGGTAGTCATTTGCGCATAGAAGAGTCTCTCCGGGTACAAGAAAATGACAAAAATAAGGGTAAAGTTGAATCTCGACAACCCTCTGTTCACATGGTGAAAGACAAGAAAATGAATTCCAATAACAAAGGAAAAGGCAAGAAACGCAAATTTGACGAACCCAACAAATGCAACAAAAAGAAAAAGGATTTGGTGCGTTGAAGATGGAACAAAGTGGGTCATTGTAAGCGTGATTGGTGGGTTAAATTGAATAACAACGATGCTGGAACAAGTGGAAGTGGATCGGGGTCTAAGGACCAAGCTTAAGTGAAATGAGGTCAGATTTTGACTAACTTTAATAATTTTGTCCATAATTATGTTTCACTTATTTCCGAGTCTTTTTATGTACAAGATGATGATTGTTCATGGTGGATCGACTCAGGAGCGAGAAGCCATATTTGCAAGGATCAACGGTGGTTTGAAAAATTGACATCGATTGAAGACGGATTTGTGCTTGACATGGGAAGCGAGTCGAGTGCACCTATTTGTGGGATTGGAGTTGTTAATCTAGAAAACTTCTGGAAATTGTGTTAAACTATGTGATGTTTTATATGTTCATAGACTTTGTAAGAATCTAGTTAGTGGTGGTTTTTTTGAATAGCGTGGGCTATAAACAAGTTTATGAATCGAATAGATATTATCTTATCTCGATATGGTAGATTTGTTGGATTTGGTCATTATAGTAATAAAATGTTTTGTTTAAATATTATGAATAAATTGTTTATTCTTGATAATTTTGCTTTTATGTCGTCGTCTTCTTCTTCTTCTTCCAAAATTGAAGATTCCATGATTCGGTATTACTAGATTGGGTCATGTCAGTTTTAGAAGAATGCATAAAAAGTCAAAAAGATGGATTAATTCCATCATTTGACATTAAAACAGAAAAATGTAAAACCTGCATGCTTACAAAAGTTACAAAACAACCCTGAATCAGAAGGTGAACCTACGGTGTAACCGTAGACTTTTTAAGTTGCCCTTTTTCTAATATTAAAAGAAAATCAGTTGTTTTGGAACATATACACAGTGACTTATGTGATTTCCACTCTACTCCCTCTTTGGGTAATAAAAAATATGTTGTCACATTTATTGATGATAATTCTCATGTTTGTTATGTGTATCTTTTGCATGCCAACGATGAAGCTTTGGATAAGTTTGAAATTTACAAAACCGAAGTTGAACTACAATTGAGTAGTTCAATTAAATGTATTAGAACTGATCGGAGAAGGGAATATATGGATCCTTAATTGTTGGTCCCAAAAGGGTCTACAAGAATACTAAACAGTTTGTAGAAGGGGGGGGATGAATACAAACACAATTTTCAAATTTAAAATATATATTGATAAAGAAGATCAATACAGATTTTACAAGATTGTTTGC